CTAGAAGTGGAATTGCTGAGTCATAAGGTAGTTAGTTGCACTTTTAATTTCTTGAGGAAACCCTTTACTGTTTTCCACAGTGGCTGCACCAGCCTGCATTCCCACCAGCAGTGCAGTAGGGTTCCCTTTTTTCCACTTCCTCACCAGCACTTGTTTTTTTGTTGATTTATTAATGGTAGCCACTCTGACAGGTGTGAGGTAATACCTCATTGTGGTTTTAATTGGCATTTCTCTGATGATTAGTGACATTGAACATCTTTTTGTTTTTATTGGCCATTTGTATGTCCTCTTGGAAGAAGTGCCTGTTCAGGTCCTTTCCCATTTTTTAATGAGAGTGTGTGAGGGTTTTGTGGTGTTGAATTGTATAAGTTCTTCATAAATTTGGGATATTAACCACTTATCAGATGTGTCATTGGTGACTCTGTTCTCCCATTCAGCAGGCTGTTTTTTCATTTTGTTTATTGTTTCCTTTGCCGTGCAAAAACATTTTAGTTTGATGTAGTTTATTTTTTTCTTTTGTTTCCTTTGCCCAAGGAGATATCTATATCAGAAAAAATATTGCTGTGAAAAATGTCCAAAATTTTACTGCCTATTGTTTTCTTCTAGTATTTTTATGATTTCAAGTCTAACATTTAAATCTTTAATCCATTTTGATTTGTTTCTTGTGTATGGTGTAAGAAGGTGGTTGAGTTTGATTTTTTTTTTTTCTTTTTTTCCATGTATCCAATTTTCCCAACACTGTCTACAGAAAGACTGTCTTTACCCGGTTGTATATTTTGCCTCCCTTGTCAGGTATTCATTGACTGTAAAGGTGTGGGTTTATATCTAAGCTCTCTTATCTGCTCTGTTGATCTATATTTCTATTTTTATGCCAGTACCATGTTGTTTTCATTACTGTGGCCTTTAATACAGTTTGATATCAGGGAGCTTGATTCCTCCAACTTTGTTCTTCTTTTTCAAGATTGCTGTTGCTAACCAGGGTCTTTTGTGGTTCCAGGTAAAATTTTGTAATATTTTGAAATAATGCCATTGGTGTCTTGATAGAAATTGTGTTGAATCTATAGATTGCTTTGGGTAGAATGGTTAATACTAATGATGTTAATTCTTCCTATCCATGAATACGGCATATGCTTCCACTTCTTGGTATCTTCAGTTTCTGTCTTCAATGTCTTAAAATTTTTTGGACATAGGTCTTTTACCTCCTTGGTTAAATTTATTTCTAGGTATTTTATTCTTTTTGAAGCAATCGTGAATGGGATTGTTTTCTTAGTTTCTCTTTCTGATAGTTAATTTTTGGTATGTAAACATGCAACTGATTTCTTGATACTTATTTTGTACCCTGCTACTTAACTGAATTTATTTATCAGTTCTAGTAGTTTTTTGGTGGAATCTTTAGAGTTTTCTATGTATAGTGTCATCTGCAAATAATGACAGTTTCACTTACTTTCCAATTAGAATGCCTTTTATTTTTCTTTTTATTTAAAGCCTAGATGTATTTATTTTTTAAATTTTTTTTATTGTGATTCTGTTAGAGTTGTCCCAGTTTTTTAATTTCTTGTTTATTTATGTCTGATTGCTGTGGCTAGGATTTCCAGTACTATGTTGAATAAAAGTGGTGAAAGCAGACATCTTTGTGTTATTTCCCATCCTAAAGGAAACATTTGTAGTTTTTGACCACTGAGTATGATGTTGGCTGTGTTTGTCATATAGCAGCCATAGGTTCTTTCATCACTGCCATTGTAGCATGAAAGCAACCATATATAATATGTAAATGAATGTGGTTGTTCCAATAAAACTTTATTTATGACACTAAAATTTAAGTTCCTGTAATTTTCATTTGTCAAAAAATAATTTGTTTGCTTTTTGCCCACCAACTATTTAAAAATGTAAAAAGTTTTAATCTAGTGGATCATGGTTTGGTGGCCCCATAGCTGTAATTACCTCTGTATTTAAGCATCATGTCATATACGAGATTAAAATAGGTAGTAAAGGAGAGTGGCCCCAAAATATAGACAAAATGGGCTTTGTAAAGAGAAATGAATTTTAAATTGTACAATGAAGTATTTAAGGACAATTCAAGATTTTGTTGCCTATTTCAGCTGTTGGTAAACACTCTATTTAAAAAATTAATTCCTGCAGTATTTGGGCTCAAATCTCCTATCCCTTAAGGTTAGTATTTCAAATTTAATATATAAATCTTAAACAGAATAGGTTCTCACGTAGAATTTATAAAGGATAACATTTATTGGATAGTATCAGGTATCTAATATCTTGCCATACTTTAAGCTCCTTTATCAATGTAGTTGGAATTTTTTTTGTAAATTTTTCTGCTAATCAGACCTTTTAACTCTGACCTCTTCATCATCTTTATTAAATTATTTTATATTTTGATACCAATCGCCCTTTCAGAATTATTTTTATAAATTTTCATACCTACCAGTAATGAAAGTGACTGAAATGCAGTGATTTTGAGATTCCTTAAAATATTTTCTGCAGTGTAGATCATATACCTAAGTCTCAAGGTACTCAAAAGCTTCATTTCCTTATTGGGATAAAAGGTCATACAGTATTAGATGTGATGTTTTGCATTACAGTATCTAGTGTGTTTCCTGATTTTTCTCACTTATAAATTAGATAAAATAAGCCATGATTGTTTGTGCTTTGGAAAAATTAGGAACACCTTTGTAACAGACTTTATAGTTATTTCATTAGGAGAGAAGAAATGAGATTAGAGGTTAAGCTAAAATTTGAGATTATTCTAAATTAGACTCTAAAACATGATGAAAAGTATTGAATTATATAGTATGTTCATATGTTACCGTTTTCTTGGTACTGTCAGGGGTTTAGAGAATGTTAAAGCTGAAATAATACTCAGTGCCTTTTCATTTTACAGGTAAGAAAACAGAGAAGTACTTTTCTAGCGGTTTATTTGACTATGTAACTATGAACTGGCTGCCTGGATTTGGAACTATGATTTAACCATGTTATCTCATTCCTTTCTTATAAGTGCTTTATACAAAAGCTCTCACTGGAGCTTTGTTAATTTAAAAATGCCTATGCAGTTGCCTCTTTAATATCATCGAAAGTATTTCAATCTTAGATGGAAAATTCTCTAATCTATACATATTTATAGGTATCAGTAGCCTTTTACTTTCTTAAATATCTCACTTTATCTATGGATGTCATTTTGGTGACCTACTTTTCAGTGGTGTCCCTTTTTTTTTGGTTATTAATTTCCTAGGCAATTGAAGTAGTTAATATCCTTCTTTCAGGTAAATGACACAATTTACATTTCTTTCTTGTGATATGTGGATAACTTTAATAAATGCTAAGGAACATAGAATCTTTCCATTGTTCTGGGGCTATTTTCAGTCATAAAATTTAAGTGAGTTCTTATTTTCATTTATAGCTATGAAGCCTTTCTAATTTTTGAATTTTAGTAATAGTTTTTTTCCACTGAAATGAAGGACCTAAAGTAATCATGGTACTATTGTTCATTTGTTTGGCTGTGATTCAAAGTGAAAACAGTAACTTCATTTTATATATGTGGAAATACAATTTGAGCAGTCTTCATTTAGAAGTGATTGTAGAATATGAGCAGTTTCATGATCCAATGAATAGATGAAATAGTCTTTTCCCCATTCCTATCTGTAACAACATAACTGATATGTCTAAACAGATATATTTTACTTTATATTTCCACTGTATGTGAGACTTAACTGACCTGAAAATACTTTTTATTAACTCCCATTTTTTAAAAGATTTTATTTATTTTTAGAGAGGGAGGAAGGGAAGGAGAAAGAGGGAGAGATACATTGATGATGTGAGAGAGAAATATCAATTGGTTGCCTCTTTCACCTGCCCTGATCGGGGACTGAACCCACAACCCAGGCATATGCCCTGACCGGGAATTGAACTGGCAACCTTTTCGGAATGGAATCCAACCTACTGAGCCACACCAGAAAGGGCTTAACTCCCACTTGTAAGTGGCCCTGACCATCCCAAAACAGCCACACTTTAATTCCCCCCACCTCTGCCAAAAAAAATCCAAAACAAAACAAAAGGAAAATCACAATTGTGTAGGGAGCTCTGCTCTGATAGTACTGATGGAATTCAATGCAGGAGACTGTATCTATCAAAAAATTGATCTTAGATCTCCGAGGAGAGACACTGCTTCATTTTGTGGCTTTTCTGTAACCCTCAAATACAGAACAAGTACCTGCCTGGAATGTGATGTAGAATGAGTGTTCCTGTCCTTTGTTGTGTAATTCTTGTTCCCTCTAAGGTGAACAATAGCTGCAGTTTTTTCACTCTAGTCTGCTAGGCTTTTCTTAGGCATTTTTAATTTCATTATACTCCTGAATGAAAAAAGAAAAAGTTTCTGCTAAGTTTTGAAGAACCAGATGGTTTATTCAGATTTCTGACTGTAAGTGCCTTTAGAGACTTTGCAAGTTGCACTTCACCAATATGATTATTTGGACAAATGGCAGGAACTGCCACTCAATATTTTATTGAACCAGTAACTGGTTTTAAAACCTATCATGATTTGCTTGTCCTGCTTGTGGCAAATGAGCTACTTTGCTAGGTGGTTTGTAAATGAAGTTGACCAAACCTCTTTGGTCTTTGACTGGGAGGATGTCAAATTCCCTCTCAGGTGTAACATTTAATTGTTAGGTTGAAAGTCTGCGTCTCCTTAGAAGGAACACTGGAGAATTCATTGTACTAATGTTTGTTGTACTGTCTTCTCTTACTGTGGTTAATAGTAATCATCTTTTTTCCTTCCCCTTTTCTGCTGCCCCTTTCCTTTTCTTCCCCATCTTCCCATGTACTTTTTGAATTTATTAACCTGGCCTATATATTTTTTCCTTGCTTTTTTTTTTTTTTCCTTAATTTTGTGGTCTCCTCTCCCACTCTGTCTTCCCCACTTGGCTTGGGTTCCATATTGCTAGTTTTTATGTTCGCACGCTCATTATCACCCTTTTTTGTACTTCAAATCCCAGCAGCTGCCCAGCCAGGTCCCCGAGCACAGCCCAGTGGTTTATGGGACTGTGGAGAGCGCTCATCTTGCTGCCAGCACCCCTGTCACTGCAGCTAGCGACCAGAAGCAAGGTTTGTGTACAACTGTTTTCCTCCCTCTTCAGTCCCTTTTTATGTAAACGAATTGCCCTTAGCATTTAAGAGAAAGAGTAAAACATTTGAGGATTATTTAGATACTCACTTGCAAAGAAAATTTTCAGTTGGAAAATCAAAGTGTTCAACATCTAGGAGAGTAGTGATGATTAGTAAAATTATTCTCTACATTTTATTAATGCCTTGTTGTCGATATGTATTTGTAGGTAAAAGCATAGCGGCCTTAAACTTTTTCTGAAACAAGGTTGGGAGAATAAATCAAAGTATATATTGCTTTATAAGGAGAACACAGTGTTATTTATATATTCAACATGTTCCTGCATATCCTATTTTAAAAACAAAATGTTTCTTATAAATTTGGCTTCTATGGCCTCATTTGGAGATAGTATTAAGTTCAAACCTTGACTCCATCATGCATTAGATGTTTGGTCTTGGTGAGTCATTATGCTGTGTATCTTAATTACTTCACTTAGAGAAAATGGAATAAAGAAGACCTATCTCTCAGAGTTGTTGTGCAAGCCTAATTGGATCTCCAGCCTAGCTGGATTTAGGTTGACCTTAGCTAAAATTGGGAGGCAATTCTCATTTGGTGCTGAGAGAAGCAAGTGACTTTGAGCATGCTATTATAATATTTCTGATCATTCTAAGATTGAATGGAAATTATATTTGTTTTCCAATTTTTTCTTTAAACCCTTTAATAATCTATAGCTGGCTCTTACTAAATACACTTTTTAAAAATTATTCTTTAAAAAGTATTTGGGAATTGGCATGTAATACAAAGTGGAGTTATTTAATATTATTGGGTTTTTTACTGGACTGCAAGTTTAATGACATAAATTTCTAGCATACTAAATGATATACTGTAGAACTGTATACCTGAAACCTATATAATTTTATTAACCAATGTTTACCCCAGTAAGTTCAATTAAAAAGAAATTTCTGATGTTTGATTTCAGTGTTGTTTATAGTATACAAATATAATATGGTATTTTTTTTCCCTTGAATATTGAGGAGCCTCGTAAACTTGAACAGAAACAAGTCATATGTTGTATCTATTTTATAAGGTAGTTTTAGGCCAAAAGATAGATACCAAATTCTAACTTGGCATGCTTCTGAAAATTGCACTGTCAAATACTTCTTTCAGCATTGTTCAGAGTGAGAAATTCCAGCATGCTTAAAGCTAAATTTTTAAATATTAAAGTCATTCACCTTGCAGAAGTGCAGTTCATAGGTATTGTGGAAAACCACTTCTACCCCCAATGATAAAGCAGTTTTAAGTCAAAATTCAGACGGCTTTCAGTGTGAGTGGAGAATAATTTTAAGTTATTCCCTTCAAAACTTTCTTCATTACTTTTGCGCAGTTAAAATTCTTTTACTAGTTAGAATTATGCTAAGCATACTGAATACTTAACCATGCAAAAAGGTATTAGAATATTGGATTGGCCAAAAAGTTTGTGTATGGTTTTTTCCTTAAAATAAAAGGCATATTTTTTTTATTTTCACCAATAACTTTATTGATTTGGATATGTTGAGTATGTTGGCTGTCTCCCACATGGTCTAACTTTGTTCTCAATTAATGTCTCAATTTGATCTCTAGCAACTTCAATTGTTCTATCTGACCGTGGAGCATCATCTAGCAAGAAATGTCCAGCATGAAACTGGGCAAATCACTTTTGACACATTCAGTCAGTCACAGCACCTTCTCCATATGCTGCACAAATCTTTTTTTTGTGTTTCAGTTGCATTTTTACCTTTCTGGAAATAAAGTATAATATACTGAAAATGTTGCGTATTTTCTCCTATCTTCAATATTAAAATGACTTCACAAAAACTCACCAATTTTGATAAGTTTTTTTTTAAACAAATACATGCTAATACAACAGCTGTCACAATACAATCTAACAAAATTGTTTCGAATGAAGTTAAAGACAACCAAGTGCTACTAGAGCCATTTTACAGGGAAAAAACTAAACTAACTTTTTGGCCAACCCAATATATCCTCTATGCAGACTCTCTCTATAGCTGGGCCATGATAAAGAATTCATCGTAGTCCTTGATGATGATAGCTCTGACCAGCTAAGATTTTTAGGTTATTAGATACCTGCATTTTGTCTCAAATAAGCCTTTATTTCCAGAAGAAAGAATGCAGAATTTTTGGTTTCCTCTAGTTTTTTATGCTTAGTGGAAATTTGAATAAGTCAACATTTTAAATTGATATATGATACAGATATGGGTGAATTAGAAAATATTTCAGGTTACCTTGATGAAAAGGAAAAACTTTCTTTTTAAGTAAGTTTCATAGAGCTCATAGGAATTCTTTGGGATTGTTGCTGTCTTCCTCTTAATACCAACTATCTTTCAGAAAACTCAATAGTGATTATAATTTTCTATTTGAAATTCTACCAACAACTTCCCAATACATAAAAGAGTTTTCGGAGGAGTAGTTTTTCTAAAAAAGTAAATGTATGTAATTCAAATACATTAAAAAGGGTTCACCATTTTTCAGAAAATAATTTTTAAGAAATTTAAAATTTTAAACTGTAGATTCCTTTTGAAATTAAAGATACAAAATATACTATTTTCAAAGATTGCTGTTGTATTATACCATCAAATTGATTTTTCTCTCCAATGGCAATGTCATTTCTGAGGATTTACACTGGGTAACAGAATCCCATGTTAGCCTCGAAGTCTCCCACCAACTTCAGTCACCTAAATACCTCTTTTATCATAAGACTTTTTATTTTCTAAATTGGAAGAATGTGGAATTTGAAATTATTTATAGGTTCTGGCACTTATGGACTATATGACCTTGGGCCTATGATTTAATTTCTAAACCCCTCAGTTTCCTCTTCTGTAAAATAGGAACATAATTGTTTCTACCCCAGTGGCAGTTACAAGAATTAAAGGACACTGTGTATGTATGGTATTTAACCCAGGGCCTAGCACAGAGTAAGTGCTTATTTAATAAATGTTAGCTGCCATTATTAAGCTTCTGATTTTCTAGAGTTATTGACGTGAACAGCCAGAGTGGTCACATGAAGACCTAAAGATGCAGTAAAAAACCACAGCTTGGTTTGTAGAGAGTGAGTGAGTTAAGTGGATTAAAATATTCAGCTGGTGTAGATTGTATATAAACAGTTTAAATGATTGTTGTTTGGGAAAGTATATTCTGCATAATGTGTTGAGGATATGCTATGGATAATTAAATACAAATAAAAGTTTTTGTGCCTTAGTCTTAGAGCCTTTTGAAAGCAGTTGGTGTAGGGTAGGTATTCAGTGAATTGTATTCTGTTGCATTTCAATCATTTATAGTAATTTAGCCAAATTGGGACTCTTCTGGCATTTTTAGGACAGGACTATTCTCATATTGCAAGATGCTTGGTACTCCTGGTCTCTGCTCATTAGATGACAGTAGCACTGTCTCAGTCCCTTGAGGCTCATGACTACCAAAAGGTACCCATCTAGGCAGTTGGTTTCCCCACAATATGAGAATAGAGTGCTAGTTTTTTCCTTCTTTCCTAGATGACATTCATTATATTAACTACAGGTAATGAGAAAGAAAAAAAATAATTCATTATCCAGATCCATTATTAATAAACTGTCTTAGACTTTCACATATGCATATATGTTTGTATTATATATGTTTAAGTTACCAAATTAGGGTTATGTTCTACATACAGTTTTATGTTCTGCTTTTTAAAAAAATGTATCTTTTATTTTAAACAACTTTCCATGTCATTAAGTACACTTTTAAAAGCCTATTTTAAATAATTGCTTAATATACTGTGATAGGCCCAGACCATTATTTCTTTAATAAATCCCCCATTGTTATACGTTTAGTCTATTTCCTTTTTTTTTTGCTATTATAGTGTTGCCTTAAATATTTCAGACCTCTCTCTCTTCATTCTTACATGATTATTTCCTTAGAAAAAAAATTTTTTAATGAAATTTTCCCAAGTTCATAAAAATAACCAAATGTTATAAACATTTTTAATGCAATGTATTAGATATCAAATTATTTTGGCTCTGCAAAGCATAATCTTAATAGTAAAATCAATGTTCCTTATTTAGAGCAATTGTATTATACTTTTCAGCTTTCTATATTAAAGCCTTAATGAATTAATTAAAGAACTTTTGTTTCAGAAGGAAGAGCTCTCAAAGTAACTTTTTGTTTCTAATTTTTAAAACATGTAAACTAATTTTTCTCAGGAGTATATAGAAGTTTCCATCCAAGGTCTCCTTTTGTTTAAATATTTTTAGTATCAGAAATTTTATTTCCCTAAATTAATAATTCAATTGACATACTCTTTATTATATTGTTCATGTGAGAATTATTATTTTCCACTGTTTAATTTATTGTATCTAGGTATAAAGATGTGCTTTCACAAGGGTATTGTGTAATCTGGGTGTCTGACCCATGTAGCAGTTGCTGCAGTGATGTGGAAATTATTTTCATCAGAGATATCTTGATAAACACATATTTATTGTAAACGTGGTGTGTATGTATATAATGCATATAATAGATACATCTTTTGAAATATTTTTGTCTCTTTCTCTGGCACTTAGTCTGAGGGATTTGGCAGTGAGGGCCTACTGATCTTATTTTTTGCCTACAATAAATAGGCAGAGTTCAACTTAAGAAGCCTTTAGTTGACCTTTATGCCTGTAAATTAAAGTGAATTTTAAGTAAAGTAAAAGTAGCTGCAGTAAATAAATTAGCCTTTAACAACTCTTTGGTAATATATACTGTCTGTCTAATTAACAACATGTTTTCTTTGACAGACTTAGTTCACTACAATTTATTGTAAAGACTCATTTTCCTTGATGACTAAAGATTTCTAACAGAGAGATTTTTAAGGTCCTTTCCATTTTAGATTGTCTATTTAGTAGTCCTTAAAATATTTCTTTGTATATGATGAACATACTCATGAATATCTGATTTTCCCCTGGAGCCCCTTTATGATGCCAAGAGCACTAGGCTAGAAAAAAAATCTAAGTCTTTGGTTTCATCCCCTCAAGAATGAATTGCATTATCAGTTTACCAAGAATTTTAAAATATGGAAATTTTCATTATTTAGAGGCCCTTACATTTTTCTGATACCTTTATTTTAATTACTGATTTATTTCTCTCTTGCTCTTGCTATTCTTTATGTGTCTATACAGAGACACACATTTTATATATTATTATCAAATGTTTCAGACACATATGCTGTATTATTTTTGATTGGACATGATTATCCTTAAATAATTTTTTATTACAATGAAGACACAAGATAAATTTCCAATTTTATACATTCAACATTATTTCTGGTTATATGCCTCTTTTGAAAAGTGAAAGTTAATTTCTAAGTGAATTTTTATGTTCAGGAACTTGATTTCACTGATAGATATAAATTTCATTGGTGATAAGTGAAAAGTAATACATGTTCTTTATCAAAATTCCCCAAAGTGTATAAATATATAGAATAAAAATATCAGTCTGTAATAATTTAATCTCTATTTGCCCTTGAACTGTGCTACCACTATAGTATATCCTTGATTGAAAAAATTACTGCAGGGAACAAGAAATAGTGGAGAGGGAAGGACTCTCTACCTCAAAGAAAAGCCCCACTCCCATTTCAAGAATGGTTTAGCTTCAGTTTTGATGAGATTTTGCATTGTATTCTTGATACATAATTGTTTGGTGAACTGATTCTGTCTCTTTCTCCAAAATAAAGCTTGTATGTATTGGAGACCATCTAATAGTGGGTGTAACTAGAAAAAATATGACAATGTTTTGAAGTGGCAGATTATGTCTAATATTTTGGTCTTTCTTCTACTACCCATGATTTATGGTAAGAGATTAAAAGAATTGGCCCCATATGATACAATATTCTCTCTGATCCAAGGATTATTCTTAAAACTCTTTCTCTTTTTCTTTCCCAGAAGAGAAGCCAAAACCAGATCCAGTGTTAAAGCCTCCTTCCCCAGTGCTTAGGCTAGTCCTTAGTGGAGAGAAGAAAGAGCAAGTGGGTCAGATATCTGAGACTACTACAGCAGAGTCCATACCAGAGCTTCCTCTGCCTCCATCACCACCTGCTGTTCCTCCAGCTGCTCGAAGTACAATTGCTTCCCCCACCTCTGCTGTTCTTAGCGGCCAGCCAATGTTCACCACTGCTCTAGGTGACAGATGCGAACTCTCATCCTCAAAAGAAGACACAATTCCTGTACCCAGCCCTGCATCTTGCACAGAAACATCAGATCCTTCACAAACAGGTGTAATTGATGATGATATATGCAAGAAATCTTGTAGTGTAGCACCTAATGATATTCCACTGATTTCTAATACAAATCTGATTAATGAAATGAATGGAGTTAGTGAAAAATTACCTGCCACAGAAAGCATTGTGGAATTAGTAAAACAGGAGGTGTTGCCATTGACTCTTGAATTGGAGATTCTGGAAAATCCCCCAGAAGAAATGAAAGTGGAGTGTGTTTCAGCACCCATCACCCCTTCCACAGTTCCTTTCTTTCCACCATCTCCTCCAACTCCTCCAGCTTCTCCGCCCACACCAGTCATTGTTCCTGCTGCTGCCACCGATCTTAGTTCTGCTAGTGCTCCCACTGCTCCCACTGCAGTCCTGAGAGTCTTAGAAGAGGATGAGAGCATAAGAACTTGCCTTAGTGATGATGCAAAAGAGATTCAGAACAAAATAGAGGTAGAAGCAGATGGGCAAACGGAAGAGATTGTGGAGTCTCAGAACTTAAGTTCAAGAAAGAGCCCTGTCCCAGGTAAGCTGTTCTGCCATTAATTATATGCTTGCTGAATGTCCAAAAAAAAGGCAGTTTTTGAGTTATTTTTTAATTGGCTACTTTCCTTGACTTCCAGAAACATCAAATGAATGCTGAAATTCCTAGTCTTTCTTGAATGGTGTATTTATGTTTTAGTGCAGCCTGCAAAAGAGTTGCTCCATTGTCTAAAAATGCAAATGAAATTTCAAATATACAAAATGCCTCCAAGGTATATATATCACTCACTCTACATTTGGGTCTTTTTGGGTTTTTTGCCTTATTCACATGAATCAGTTCCTCAGTGGCTAATTTTGTTGCTTTGGGGCTGGAGACAAATTAAAACTACTATGGCCTATAGTCCCTAATTCTGTCTTCTCAAAATTTTAAAATCCAGCCCATCCTAAGCTTAAAGAAACTCCTCTATACAAGACCCCTTTAATCCTGGATTTAGGAAAAAGGCAATCAGAAGGTCAAAGGTTTATGACTATTTCTGAAAACTAAAGCGCCCCCTTTGATTGGCTTGCAGATAAGTTTATTGCTCTTTCACTTGTTATTTTAAAAGTTTTATTTTCTCCTGTAATTATTATTATAAAGTGTTCTTCTCAATTCAGAATTATTTCTTTTTAATATACCATCACCCCGGATCTTAGGAAATATCATTGGATTTTTATAATTTTAATGAGAGAAGTTCTCTGAGATTATCCTCCAAAGTTAGTAGCACATAAGAATATTGCTTTGAACAAGTCAGCTTAGCCCATCCTCTGCAACATTGGCCTATGCTGTATAATTTGCTCTCTGTGTACCTATCAGGTTAAGTTACACAATTAGATAAATGAGTGCTCCCCGAGAAGTTGTCGTAGGTAACCGCTGGGGGGATTTCAGTCACAAACATCCTCAGTATTTATTGCCTGTTTTGAGCTCTCTGATAGGGAAGCTTCTCAAATCAAAAACCTGATCCCTTTTTTAAGGATGTGGCTTTACCATCCTGTTCAGTTTCAGAGGTCGTTTCTTAATGAATGTCTGTGGAAGGTCCTGCTACGTTATAAAGTAGAACATCTAGTTCAATGTAGTAAACCAGAGCAGAAAAGCAGACAATGCAAGGTAGTTAGAAAAGGGAGAAATTTATTATAAATGTTGGTAAGTCAACTGTTTCTTCAACAGACTGACCTCCATTGGCATCAGTATTCATAGTGCCATCACTATTTTGGGAGTCTTTTTTCTTGGTAGGGTGATGACTTGTGGCTTTTTTGTCAGTTACTCTTTAATAAAACAAAATTGGTTTTGGTACGGCTACAAATGAATGTCCCCCAAAAAACACTTATTGGTTGGAGAACAGTGATTTATTTGATCCTTCGTTGTTTTCATACACCCTACTGTGAGTTCAGCAGCTGGTGTTGTGGTAGTTCCAAAACTAGGAGAAGCTAATGAGGACAAATTTTAAATAAACAGAAGAACAAAGCAATCATATGGAATACAAGTCAAAGATACAAACCATACTTTAGAACCGAAATAAGTGTAAAGCAAGACTGTACCAAAGTCATACTTCCTACTCATCCTAAACAGTCATTCTTCTTTTAAGCAGTTTGTCAGTTACATAGCCTGATACTGATTGCAAGGCAGTGTGCAGGGATAAATGGACATACTTCTTTTTATTTTATTTTTCAGAGAGGGAGAAAGAGAGGGAAAGAAACATTGATGTGTGAGAGAAACATCCACCGGCTGCCTCTCGCATGCCCCCAGTCAGGGACCTGACCCGCAACCCAGGGTTGTGCCCTGACTGGGAATTGAACGGGCAACCTTTCAGTTCACAGTCCAGCACTCAACCCACTGAGCCACACCAGCCAGGGCAGATTTGGGGGTCATGAGTTCTTCATACTATTGTACATTTTTTTGAAATGAAAATAATGTCAGAGTTAGTAATGTAAATCAACAGCACCTTAGTAAGAGAATATATAGATTCTCCATTTTAACCAGAGGATAGCTAGAAAAGAAAAAACTGTCTTTTGCTTGATTAGGAAATGAGATGGATGTTAGCGATGTCAGAAAGTGAACTGTCTTGGCATTTTTCTATTTTTATGATTTTTTTCACTCTAAATGTGTTTTAAAGGAACTAAAAGTTCTGTAATTTTCCTTTGTACCATACACTGTTCAAAATCCAAAATAAATGAACCTCAAGAACCCATGCAACTCTAGCATTTTTTTTTACAAAGCTACCAGGAACATTCCTGACCTCATTTCTGTGCAGATATTTTTAATGTTATTGCCACAAAAGTTAACAATGAAAATTTAAATTATCATCATTCTTCTAGATATATCCATCTGAAGTCGTCATATTCCTAATGACTACGATCTGATTTGTACTTATTTACTGTACCTTATTCACTTTGAGAAGTTATTAAATCATAACAATTTGGTTTAGATATCAGTCTTTTTTGTTGTTGACTTTCAGAGTAGTTCTTAATGTCTCACCTGAGGATAAAACACTAAATAAAGCTGGCTTCAGAAACTATTTGCTTTTCACAGGTATACATAAAAGTACACAGTAGTTGGTGCGAAGATACTTGTTTAAAGCAATAAAGTTAAACATTAGGAGTGTGGTTCCTCTTCTTTTGGAAAACACTTTCTTGCAACTACTCTGTTATATATCTGATTGGAGCAAAATACATCAATTCTGGATACTTATATGTTGAAGAGCAAGCCTTGTAAACTGAGGATTGTGTGTTTATCTTAAGTGTACTCTAAAAAGCCTCAGAAGTAGGCCAGACTTTGGACTACTTGATTCATATGATCACTGCAATAATTAAATATACAAAAAAATCTATATTAATTGGATGGTTTCTTAAAGTGTATAGTTTCTGTGTATATTTAGTGGGGGGGAGAAGAGAGTTTCAGAACTTATATGAAAACAGTCCCCACTCACCATCCAGGAATTGATTTTGTACAATTTTCTGAACATACATACTATGTAACATGAACTTTTCCACCTTTTAAAATAGCAGTTTTTCTTTTTCTTTTATTTTTTATTATCTGTTTAATATAAAGCTATTATTTGAAATTCTTTTGGCAGAGAGAGGTGTCTGATCTTTGTATTTTATCTTCTGGCTCTTGCCCATAGTGCATTGTTTCTTTGTTTTATAAATTTGTATTATGAACTCATCTTTAGCTAAATTTTTCTGAATGTAGATTGAGGGCAAGTCCTCTCAAAGAGGGTTTTTATTTACTTTATTTACCACATGTCTTGGAACTTAATGTGAATTTACTGTCCCAGATCTCCTTTTATACACTAAACAAAGTATGAAGGTGTTCCCTGTGGATACAGTTTTTCAGGATGACAGCAGTCCTTCTCCACCTAACTGACACCAGACATCTTTCCTTTTCATTACTCTGTGTTGATTCACTAGTTTTTGTTTTGTTTTTTTGTTTTAGCTATCTTTTTCACTGAAACTGTCACTGTATTAGGAGCCTGAGAGCTTTCATTGAGAATCTCAATTCAGGATCTCATCTCTTCCATATGGATGTTAAAAAGTAAACTGCTTAGTTGTAGGACTGACACAGCGTCCTACATCCACAGCACAGTACGTAGTGACTGTAGGCATGGTAGCAACTGATCTTGTTTATGTGGCTTTCAGGAGTTCCCCTTATAGTCTCTGTAACCTCAGCTAAGATTGAGGGATGGTTTCCAGATTCTAAAGGTTGCAAGTTTAGAGATTTGTTTCTCAAATACAGATATGATGGTATGTTATGAGCAATGTTGATAAAATTCTGATCCATACAGCCAATCAAACTGATGATCTCTCTTTTGGGTTTGTTTTACTTCAGTCTAAAAGAAACATACTTTAATTCAGGAAAAAATATTTTAATAATAACTCTTGATTTATTCTCACCAGTAAGAATATTGAAAGTACTTTAAAAGGAATAAAATGGAAGTAAGCATAAAACCAGAGACATAAAAGTCTTTCATTTAGGATAGACTAACCTGAAAAAGACTTATTTTTAAAACTGACTTATTTTTAAAACCATGACCTGAAGGTGAGCACCAGGAATAGGGAATTTGACATTTACTTTTGCCTTTACTCATCTTACACCTCCCAAGAAATATTTGCAATATCCCTGGAAGATTATGTTGCTAGGGCTAAAAATAGATCACCAATGGTTTGCATGTCCCACAAGCATAGCCCCTTCTCTAATGTACACCCTGATAATTTAAGTTCTCATATCACCCAGAGAAGTATGTCCTGGAACCTTGGGAACAGGACTTCTACAATATTCCTGGTTCCGTGTCATCTGTCAAGACCAGCAGAACAATCCTTAAAGCAAGGACTCTTCTATTCCCTTTTTCATGGCCTTGAGTCTGAGTGATCCTTAGGGATAAGTAAATTAAAATTATTGGTTTTCACCACCTTATATGTAAAATATTTTCAATAAAGTTGCCTTAAAAGTACATTTCTGCCATTTCATTTCTACTTTCTTGTTGCCTTCCACAGTGAAATCTTAAGCATTATCTGGGAACACTGGTGCTGTGTCAAATTCTATCTTTCATATGCTGGCAAAATGAGCCCTGGTTATCCAATGGTTGAGCTTACCAACAGGCTCAGGTGCCAAGCCTTATGGCAAGCACCGTGCACAGTTTTCTTCTTGCCTCTTTGTATGGTATGCACTTCCCCAGTATTTACAGTAGATCGTTTCTTTGCAACATGAACTCCAAAGCTTCATTCATTGGATATTAATTAACTTAGTCATGCATATCTCCATGAATAGACATAGATTCGTTGTTCAGAATTTTGCCCCCTTTTTCCCCATACTTAGTAATTAATCTGCCTCCAAAAGAAACTGTCGTACATACCTGCTTCCAGACAGGGTGATCCAGTTTAGGGGAGTGCTGTTCTTTCAGGCAAAAGGGGACTGTTTTCAGGAAAACCTACTCTTGCTAAAAGCTTTTTCTTTCTCAAATACCCATCTTGACCTTGCACACAATAGTTGAGGACTGTTTTCAATACTTC